AATGGCTGCCAGTCGGCCATATTTGATCATTTCAAAAAAGTAAAACAACGTGCATCTATATGGGTTGTCCCTTTGTCTTTTTAACAAGTCTCAACAAAATCGGTCAAGCCATCTCCGAGAAATGATGATGGACACACAATAACCAAATTTGACTGAATTTTGGCATTAAAGTGGCCGCAAGTCGGCCATATTTTATTGAATCGGAAAATAATTGATGTGCACATGTATGGTTGACAACTATGTCTTTCTACCAAGTTTCAAAAAAATCGGTCCAGTCATCTCCGATAAATCACGCCGGAAGGATTGACGGACTGACGAAGGCGAAACTACAAGCCCCTCCCTCCTTTGTCTGGGTGGGGGCTAATAACATAATAGCTATACCATGTAGTTGCCGATGATAATGAAAATTTGAGTGTTACAACATCAAGCTTCTGAAAGCTAGATACAAAGATATTACATACATTAGATTTGCTAGAGCCTTAATCCCTTGTCTGTTTTTATACACTAAATACAAGCCGATGCCCCCTTAGGTTAGTTTATTTTAGTTTCCATCTATTGAGATTCGGACCGAAACTCGGCACGTGCCGATATTTAATGAGTCATACTAGTATGACGTGGCGGTAAAGCGCAGATAATTATAGACAGATGCGGTAATTAATGTTATGAATGCAGAAAGTTGTCGATGATGTATATTTTGTGCTGCTGTTTCTTATTGCAATGCTACATGAACCTGAAAAGTATAGTTCTTTGCCGTTCATATGCGCAATAACTCGTAATAAGTACATAATAGCAAATGGATATGAAAAATATTTCATTTAATAAACAACATCAAAAAATTGTTTTTTCATTACAGTACGTCACCCACATCCGGGCATTTTCTGTTATTTAACATTAATACCCATATTTTCTACTGGAACTAAAAATATAAATACAGGATTTAAATGGGAGAACCACGACCCGGCCAGTTATACCACAGATTATCAGACAAAGAAGTATCACTCTCTCAATCCAGATGTAAGTTAACTATTTTATACGTTTTTCCGGTTATTTAAAACAAGTTATTAGTCAAGGAAACGATTTTTTGTAAATGGCAGAGAAAGTGTGTTTTGTTGAGCATTACATATCCCATCTATTACCATAGCCTTTATTGGAGAGACATCCACGTGGTATTTTTAGATATCATTTGCAGTCGTTTTGTGGCATTGCTTATTTTCCTTAACGAATTAAGGTCATACATTTGAATGAAGCAAGTCTTCTTGTATTAATTGTATAGCACAGCATGAATCATACGTAGACATGAACAACATATTTTGGTAACATTTGAATATATTTCAATAGATGTTTCATTTACAATCGCTATAAATAAATAAATATCTATTAAACAAGGGTATGTCCGTTAACCAATATACATCTACGGCAATGTAGGCAATTGTAAGAATCACATTATGGTATTTGTGAAACAGATGTATATGTTCAGAAGGTCAAATTTATAACTTGTCATTTTAATTTGCTTATAGCAATTCTGCAAGATGACGAATTAGAAAACTGCTTCTTGAAAGTTCATGTTCGAATTTTTTTTCGAAAAAAATGATGTCAAATTTGAAATCAAATTGTCAAATTGATTATAATATTGCGCATAATATGAATATTATGATTTGTCTTTTGCTATAAAGCCGTAGATAATACCTTTAACATATGACGACAGATCAATCAAAAGAGACAGATTACAGAAAAGTAAAAAAAAAAAGTCCATTTTGAATAATGACTGTCTGATTGGTGTTATTCATTGCTCAATCATAATGTGCTTGTGAAAAATATAAAATATTTTTTTTTGGTTTATTTAGTGACGTCAAAAGCCAGTTTCCATATTGCACAGAAGAGTAACCCTTTAGATTCAAATTCTTCTCTAATTTTGAAGTTTTACCTGTTCTCGTATTAAATTAAAGCTACGTATTCAGGTCTGACGTCACCGACTCAATTAATCTCCGATGTCTTGAGAACGCCGTGCGGAGAGTATATGCACCAGTGAAGTCACCCGACGAGACGAGGAGCTGCCATTTGAACCAACTTGAACATTATGACCGGAATTGATTTCAACCGGCATCGGCGATCGTGACACTGTTTCAGCATCGGTCGCTGAAACAGCTTGCTTTAACACAATCAGCTGGCGCACACGTGCTAATAAAATAAATGCGATATTTACTATGGGGACCGCCATCTTGAATGCGGCACAAAACTAAATACGAGACAAGTT